ATATTTTGTGTATGTTACTCAACAGTTAACATTGGCAAGTGTAAACAACAAGTGACATAACTTTTGCTTCATATGATTACAATAAAGTTTTGAAAATTTGATGAGTATGGATTGAATTGACAAGTGACAGTTTACTAAATAACCGGCTGTATAGACACTTTGAATATTGTTTGCATGAAATTTTTATTTTCTGACTGCATAATTATCTGTTACAATCATAATCACATAAAGTTGGTTAAATTTTCTCGGTGCTGGCGTGGGGGGGGGGGGGGGCACTTGCCCTGCCGCCCTCCCCGCTGTGTACAGCCCTGTTTTAAATCTTATCTGCTATTATAATAAGTGATGAAATATTTCAATTGTCCCATGTCAGTTCCTTTCAAGAAAATACAAAATGTGAATCAAGTTTTTTCGCAGATACATGTACGCCTTGCGTACCTATTTTATTATATTGGCACCACCCACACTTGTACAAGACTCTAACACTCACAGTGCAAATCCTCATCTTCATGGATATGAAATTTCTTATGCTTCATTTGCGTTATTAATATCCGCAAAAGTAAAGAAATACTTCTCATTTCAATGTTCTTTATTTCTCAATATTCATACACTCCAGGGTTTTGACTTTTTTAAAAAATAATTATCAGTTGAGCGTTTTGACTATGTCTTGATAGGTATTGGCCCGCATCTCTATACGCATTTCTCGTTATATATGTCTGGTATAATTCTAACGTTAAATTATTTATTTTATTTTATTTTATTTTAAGGTGCAAAATTAAATTCAAATTTGGCCAAATCGTCTAGTATTCTGAAAGGAGAGATTGCCTTCATTGAACAAATGCAACAATGGTTGGGAGACAAGTGTAAATTGAATCTTTGTTACCGAGCATCACGTGATGGTTGGGCTGGCCAAGATTTTCACCGACATTGCGATAACAAAGGATCAACAGTGGTCTTGATCAAAGTCGATAATTTTATATTTGGTGGATACACTGACCAAAATTGGGCAGGTAATATTTAATTACATGCACTGCCTTCCCTCGACGAAGAGCCTTAATTCGCTCGAAACGTCGACGTTCTGTGTGTACTCTCATATACCGGAGCGCGGAACACCTAAAAGGCGGGCGAGGCGAGGGTATGGCCGTATCACTAATGTGGAACACATAGCCAAACCTGGTCGGCCAACGGTCTTTCTGACCGGTCTGGCATGTCAATGCATGGAAATTGCCCTGTGTGATATGTTTGCTTTCTGTCGGTGTTCATTGCTAACACAAGGTCAGCTCAAAGCGAGTTGATGTTCCTTTTGAAATTAGCCAAGCTAAGCTATCCCAGGGTGGACTGCATTCAGATTCCCTACTTAGTCATTGAAAAGCCATTATGGTTTCATATTTTGCAATCAGGCTTAAAAAGTTCTTTCCCAACTATAAGGTGGAACATGTAGATGAATTTCCTTGTGCTACATGCACACTTGTTGCTGTCTCGATGCTACGGTAATGGGCCATATAATACAAAAAAATATATAATGCACTAAAACGACAGTTAAAAATAAATGTCTCTTAACAGCAGCGTTTCTTTACTCGAGTGCGAATGTCGCGGGATAACTGAATTACTAGCCTGCGTGCAGTCCCAGACTCCCAAAGGAAGTAGGGACTGCGCAACTTCGAACGCAAGCTTGCTACGCCCGCTCAGCCCGTTTTCCAGATTTTTGGGAAAATAATTTATGCAAGAAAATTGATACGTTAAATATGCTGCCGCTCGAATAACAAATTAAACAAATATGGCGGCAAGTGAAGGGGCGTTTGATGTATATGCTGAGTTTCTGTCGCCAAGAAATAACTTGTCCCCGCGTCTGCCCGCGTCCTGCCTCCAGAGCGCCCGCGTCGTGCGTCTACTCTGCCCGCGTCCTGCCTCCAGAGCGCCCGCGTCCGGCCTCCACGGCGCCCGCGTCTTGCGCCTGCTCTGCCCGCGTCCTGCCTCCAAAGCGCCCGCGTCCGGCCTCCAGCTAAAAACTGCGTCCGCTTGGACGCAGTCGTCGTAACATAATCGGAAAAACGAACTAATATTTGCATCATACTCGTAGTTTGTCGTGAAAATACAGATCAGTGTCACTGATCGGAGAAGCAAAGAATAAAAAGTTGAATCCAAAAACGAGTCTCATTGAACCT